AAGCCAGCTCTTTTTTCACCCTGTTGGAGTTGTGGTGAGACCAGTGGGGGGAAGGGGATGAGGTGCACGAGAGTAGCACTTGTGGTTCTGGTTTCCTCTCCCAGCTTTGCCCCTCAGAGGCAAAGAGGCCACAGCTTACAGTGGGAGCCCTGAGGGTGGGGGGACTCCAGCCTCCCTTCACCATATTTTCACCTCACTATCCTGATTTATTCCTGTTTGAGGGTGCTGGTCTCTCTTTAAGTTGCCTTGTGCTAAGTGGAGGTGCAGCCAAACAAAAGCAAGCTTGATAAGCCAGCATGATCAGACAGGGAGATCCTGAGATTTTCCTTCCTGGACCTGCCCTTTATATGCATGTAGCATGGATGGAGCACCAACTGAGCCCAGTGAACAGATGAAAAGTTCACCAAGTCACAGGTCTCAGCATCAGATCTTTATAGGGGGCCAATGATCAGGGCAACAGAGTCATCGCCTCAGGGAGAAGCTGTGCCAGCAGTAAATGACAAGGGCTATCGTGACACTGGGGGCTCCTCACCTGTCTCCCAAAGCTATATTATGAATGAGTGTTTTCTAAAGGATTAAGTTACTGGAGCACACTAAGCTGTCAGTCAGAATCCTGCTCCCCTATCCCTACTAACCAAGAGGTGGTGCCTTTGAAGAGAGCTACAGTAGGCAAAACCAAACTCAATTCTTGTGTTTCCTCTCTGCTATTGTGATTCAAGATATGTGACTTCTTTACAGATTATCTTTAGCAAGTTGACACTCACCTGCAAGATTCTCTTTTTGACTCTTAAACACAAAAGCGTACTTAATTGCATCTTCCTGTTTAACGGAGTTTTTTGAGGCCTGGATTTTCCACACATGCTAGATCTGCTCCCTCCTTCTGGGCCTCAGTGGTGATTTATGCTTTCAATGTTAAACACGCAGACTGTCCTGGCACCTCTGTCACTATAGCAGGAACAAAAACACACAACTTCCCAGCAATCACATTCCTAGATTTTTACCTAGGTAAACAGAAGGCTGATGTTCACACAAAAGCCTGTATGCAAATGTTTATACAGCTTTATTCATAATCTCGAAAACCTGGAAGCAACCAAGATGGCTTTCAGCGAGACAATAGATAAACCAGTTGTGGTACAGCCGTACAATGGAATACGTTCAACTGTAAAAATGAAGGAGTTATTGATCCATGCAACAAAATGGGTGAATCTTAAGTGTACTTTTCTAAGTTGAAGAAACCAGACTCTAATGGATCCATGTTGTATAAATCCATCTGCATGACATTTCAGAAAAGGCTACACTGTCGGGATGGATAACAGATGCCAGGGGTTGGTGGTGTGTGTGGGGAAAGGGATGAATAGTTGACTTCAAAGAGAATTCATGGGGGAAGTTTTTGGGTGATGGAACTATTTTCTGTGATATTGACATGGTGGATAAATGGCTCTGCACAGGTCAATACCCATAGAACTGTCCATCACACGCAGGGAACTGTAATGCATACAATAGAAAAAAAATATCAACCAGGATGTTGGGGTATTTGTGGATGGAATGCAGATTCTGATGAATGAATCTAATTGTATGTCACTGAAGGGCACGAAAAAAAGGTACATATCAATCTATATAAATCTCTGGGTGCAGTATTGGTATTCAGTGAACTTTGTGTGCGCATAGCCTGTAACTTATCAAGTTATCAACTATCAATTTGGCTAGTTTATTCATAGGTCAGGTTAGAGCAGTGATTTTTATCCAGTGTGCTATGGGACACTGGTGTGCCCTGAGAGGATTTTAGATGTGATGCAGAAAATTTTAAAGATCATTAGTTAAATTATTTTTGAAAGAAGTGTTCAAAACATAGTAAGTATATTCTTTTTTAAAACTTTTTGGCTCGGCGCCTATAGCTCAACCGGCTAAGGCGCCAGTCACGTACACCTAAGGTGGCGGGTTCGAATCCCCAGCCCGGACCCGCCAAAAGCAACAATGACGGCTGCAACCAAAAAATAGCCGGGCATTGTGGCGGGCGCCTGTGGTCCCAGCTACTTGGGAGGCGGAGGCAGGAGACTCGCTTGAGCCCAGGAGTTGGAGGTTGCTATGAGCTGTAATGCCACGGCACTCTACCCAGGGGGACAGCTTGAGGCTCTGTCTCAAAAAAAAAAACAAAAAAAAAAACCCCCAAAAAACCAACTTTTTAAAAACTCTTTTCACTTTTTGATCAACACAATTTAAATGTGCTGTGAGAAAAAAAAAGGTTGAAAAACATTAGATTAGAATAACAAAAAGTCATAACTCAGACCTAGAAAATAATGCTTGTCCTTTAATGAGGGCTCTCATTTCTACCCCAGGATGGATGAACAGAACCATTAATAAAATTATCCACTATGTTTCAAAAATCAGAGTACAAGAATATAACACCATGAATAGGTTGGGAATAAACACAGTGACTCTCAGGAAGCGCACAAGTAGTAGAGCAGAGGTCTGCAGGTGTTCCAGGGTATTCTAGCTGGGAGCATTCAGTGTGCCATGGGCATCAATCAGTGAGGAGGGGGTAAACAGCATGAGATGCACAAGTATTTGTGATAATCAGCATCTTCATCTTTTCTGATCCCATCTTCTCATCCCATTACTGCTCCCAAGCAGAAGCGTGGTGCATTGGTTTCCTAGGCTGTTGTACAGAGCACCACAGGCTGATGCAAAACAATAGCTCTGAAGTTCAATAGCCCTGAAATCCAGGGGACTGCAGGGTTGGTTCCCTCTGGGGGTTCCGAAGGACAACCTGTCCCATGCTGCTCTGCTAGCTTCTGATGGAGCTGCCCAGCCTCTGTGCTCCTAGTCTAGTCTAGCAGGTGCCTCACACCAACTTCTGCCCCTGTCTTTGCATGGTGTTTTTCCTACTCCTCTAACTACTTTTAAGATTCAAAGCACGCCTTTTTGATCAGATGGATGTGGGCTTTGGATCCAGGCTCTGCTTTTTTGTGATGTTGGACAAATCCACCCAACCCCTTTGAATTTCAATTTCAAGGAAAATGGAAACAATTATATCTTTCTCAGAACAGTTGTAATTAAGTGCGATATGTTTTAGAAGGCATGATATAAATGGCGGCCAATGGAATTAAGCTCAAGGTCAATGCAACAGCCTCCCTTTCTATGGCAAGTCTGTATATTTTAGTAGATGAAGGGCAGGGCTTATACTACGGAAATTTTGGGGGAAGGAATATGATCATATTCAGAGACTTAATTTCTGAGCAGAATGTTAAGAGAGGTTTCCCTTCTACCTTGGTACATTTTGATCTTATTCTAGGTAAAGCAGATATATGGTCAGAGCTAGAGGAATTAGAAAAATACTTATTATTTTCTCTGGTGTCAAGTATAGTACATTTTATTCTACGTTAAAAGTTAAAAACTCATTTGTAATATTATCAACATGCAATAATATCTGTTTTATGCAGTATAAGAAGTAAAGTACTGAAATCAGGGCGTCAGCTGGGAAAAAAAGAAGAAAAAAAATAGCTGGGGGTTGTGGTGGGTGCCTGTAGTCCCAGCTACTAGGGAGGCTGAGGCAAGAGAATTGCTTGAGCCCAAGAGTTGGAGGTTGCTGTGAGCTATAAGGCCACCAAGGGTGACAAAGTGAGACTCTGTCTCAATAATAAAAAAAAAGGAAAGGAAAAAAGGAGTAAAGCAGGGGTCCTCAAACTTTTTAAACAGGGGGCCAGTTCACTGTCCCTCGGACCTTTGGAGGGCCGGACTGCGGGACCCCGGACAAGTTGGCTTCTAAGCAGGATAGGCAGTGGCGGCAAAACCACCTGGCAGGCCAGATAAATGTCCTAGGTGGGCTGCATGTGGCCCGTGGGCTGTAGTTTGAGGACACCTGGAGTAAAGCATGTAGCATCTTGTATATAAAGGTTACTAAGGATTACATAAGTTTTCATTTGGGAATGATCTTGGAGGTGTAATCATTCATGATAAAAATCTTTTCTTTAAACTTAATGATCTAATAATCCAACATAGAAAGAAGCCAGGTTGGCTTTTTGGACAAATGACGGGCACTTAGATGGTCTTGAACTTGGCTTACTGCTCTACTGTCCTTGTCTTATAATTCCTAATATATATCTTTTTAAGAGATGCAGCTGTCCAGTCTGAAGTACAGTGGAATAATTGTAGCTCACAGACTCCTGTGCTCCAACTGTCCTCCTGCCTCAGCCTTCTAAGTAGCTTAGACTACAGGATTGAGCCACCCTGCCTCCCTAAAAATTGTTAATGATTTTTGAACAAGGAGTCCCGCATTTCTAGTTTGTGCTAGGCCTTACAAATTATGTGGCCAGTCTTGTGCAGAACAATTTTAAATGTTAAGCTTTTTACAATGGGTTTTTATTATATTTTAAAACTGGATTAATCCAACAAGAGCTAGTTTTCACCAGAACTCACATGTTCATAAAAAGTAGATGAGCAAAGTATGTTTATTCACAATTTTGGTGGACACTATGCAAATATCAGGCACAGAGATGGACTTTGCAACCTAACTGTCTATAATATTGGCTAAACATATTATGGTGTAATCATATAATATAGAATATGCTTAAGATACCTAGGCCTCAATCCTGCTTGAACTTTGGAACTATCTTAGGAGATATTTAAAAACAATTGTCTAAACCTTTTTGATTGAGCAGTTGATCAATTGGTCTAGGTGTGTGTGGATTTTTGGTTTGGGATTTTGTTTGTTTGCTTGTTTTGTTTTTTGTTTATTTCCAAAGTTCCTTAAGTCAGTCTAATATTCAGGCAGGATTGAGAGCCATTGGTATTACCCTTAAAAAATGATAAAGTGTTTATAAACCTATTGGCATAGAAGATTATCCATAATATAAGGTTTTTTGAAATGCAGGTTATTGGGCAGCAGGAGTTATTTAATACCATTTGTGGAAATTTCTTTTTTATATGCAATACAGGTTCTAGAAGGGTAAACTCAAGAAGCTTTATTTTGAATGGTTTTGCTTCAAGAGAAAAGCCTGTTTGTGCTCACTTTGACAGCACATATATTTAAATTAGAATGATACAGAGAAGAGTGGCACTTGCACAAGGATGACACACAAATTCGTGAAGCATTCCATGTTTTTGAAGGACGTATGGAGAATCCTCAAAGAACTCAAATTAGACCTCCCACTTGCCCCCACAATCCCATTAGTAAGCATCTACCCGGAAGAAAAAAAAATCCTTTTATCATAAGGACATTTGCACTAGACTGTTTATGACAGCTCAATTTACAGTCACCAAAATGTGGAAACAACCTAAGTGCCCAACAGCCCAGGAACGGATTAACAAACTGTGGTATATGTATACCATGGAATACTACTCAGCCACTAAAAAAGATGGAGAGGACATCTTTTGTATTAACCTGGATGGAGTTAAAACACATTCTTCTTAGTCAAGTATCACAAGAATGGAGGAACAAGTATCCGATGTATTCAATATAATAGGAAGCCAGTAGATGATCTAATACATGCTCACATAAGAGAAAAACTGGTATCAGTTCAAGGTGGAGGGTGGGGGAACGAGGGAGTGGGTAGAGGGGAGGAGGGAGGGAGATGGGTGTGTTCCCATTTAATGGGCACAATGTAAGGGTGGATGGCACACTTCTTGGGGGAGTGACACAATTATCAGAGGGATTCTACCTAACAAAAGCCAACATTGTAACCTAACTCTGTGTACCCTCAAATTAACCTGAAACAAACAAACAAAAAACAAAAATGAGAAAAGCCATTTTATACTATTTAGATTGTATAACTATAATCCAAGAGAAGCCAGACGGGCAAGTGAAATTAAGGCCTAAGAAAGACATTAACACAAGCAGTATTGTTATGAGGACTCCCAAATCCCTGATCTTTTATTAGACGTAGAGCTGAGTTATCATTTGGAACTGACTACACTCCCAGCACAGCATCCAAGGATGATGTGTGTTGTTTCTACCTCTATGATGCTTTTGAAGAAATGAATTTAAATGATTATCTTTTCTTCTGGGGCAGGAGAGAAGACTTCAGGGACTTTCACTACCTGAGTTATATATTTAAAATGAAAAAATACATATTTATATATGAAGAGAGAGAGACTGGACAGAAGTGGTAAAAATAAAATGAAAGTGAAAAAAAAATTTCAAGTCTTCTTTGAGACGACTTCCCTTTGAAGCTCTTTTACCTTCTGAATCACTCTAATTTGGTTTGAGTGGAAAATCATTTTTCCTTCAATGTTTATATTCACTTCAAAGTGCTCCCTTTCCATGGGTATCATGCACCGTACAGCACACAGCTTCGTGCCGACCCCCACTGTGTCTGGAAGGAGAGAACCTACTTAGGTATTCTTCCCGGGGCCCCAAGTGTTCTGGAAGACAGTCACAGAGTTTTTATGAAAAGCCAGAGCAGAGGAATGTAGATCTCATTATAGCAAAGAGGAAGTTGAGTATTTATTTTAAATCTCATTTTAGCCTGCCCCAAATGTGGACACCATTGTGTAGGGCCAGTCCTGTGTACCACCTGGACCTCTTGCATGTCTCTGAGAACTTGCTATTTCCCCCAGAGAACTTTCTTTTGAGGAACCAGAATATGGGTTTGATTTTGATTGGGGTCAACAATCCCAGGAATCTTCCAGAGAGGAGGGGGATGGTCAGCCTCCTGAGAGACAAGGGTCGTAGGGGTTCAAGTGTGGGCTCTGAAGCCAGACTGCCTACGTTAGAATCCAGGTTCTTTGGTTTATCTTCTGGCCATGTGGGGGAGGCACACAACTGCTCACAGGGTGGTTTCTTCTTCCGTTAAAGGGGGTAAATAATGATTCTTAACTGATGGGCTGATGTGAGGATTAAAAAATTAACACATGCAAAGTGCTTAGTACAGGACCTGACATACAGTAAGTGCTCAGTAAATGCTAGGACGTATGTTGGTCCTGAATTAAACCCCCACCCCTCCAGGGAGTAATCCAGGTCCATCACCTCTGCCCACTGATGGTGGACAGTCTGTGGACACTTGCCAGTCTGCAAGGTGGCGGGGTGGGGGGCGAGGCTGTTTCTCCCCAGCTCCGCCCTTGCCTATTTCTTATATCATGCCATCAGGATTCCTAAATCAGCATCAACGAAAAACAATCTTATTGATTCATTTTTTTTTTTGCACAAATTTAAACATTTTGCTCGACTGCCACATGCTAATTTTGGTATCTAGAAATAAGCCACTGAATTTTCACCTTTTAAAATGTTTACCATTATTCTATTTTTTTAAGTTCAATATACAAATATCCATTGTATACCATTAACAATTAGAGAATTAAAGTTAACATGACAACACAAAATATGCAATACATAGAAATGATTCTTCAGAAATATACAGTATTTTCTACATGGAGGACTTCTAGTTATTGTTGAAACTATAAAAAGACACACGTCTGTATATATTGCAAAATTGTTATTAATGTTTTTTTTTTTATCTATTTGGGTATTCATTCTGTTATAACTCAAGTTATTGTCTTTCTAGGGATATCAGTATCCTGAAACAAAACAAATTCAGTTTGCTTTGGGGGTTCAGAAGGATTGTAGCAAACAGCTGAACCAGTGGGGGGGCACACATATCTGATATTGGGTGTTATTGTATATGCAAGTACCTTCAGGCTTTCCTATACATTGATAATAAGAGTAAGCCAATAACACAACTTTGACAATTTGTCTACTTTGGGTTACCTTTTGGATACACTTTTCATAACTTTCATCATGTCTTACACTTAAGATGAGGCTCCATGCCTGTAGCTTAAGCAGCTAGGGCGCCAGCCACATACACCGTAGCTGAGGGGGTTCGAATCCACCCCTGGGCCTCCAAACAACAATGACAACTACAACAAAAAAATAGCTAGGCGTTGTGCCAGGCGCCCGTAGTCCCTGCTACTTGGGAGGCTGAGGTAAGAGAATCACTTAAGCCCAAGAGTTTGAGATTGCTGTGAGCTGTGATGCCACGGCATTCTACCCAGGGTGACAATTTGAGACTCAGTCTCAAATAAATAAATAAGAAAGAAAGAAAGAAAGAAAGAAAGAAAGGAAGGAAGAAGGAAGGTGAAAAAGTCCAAAGCAAAGAATCCATAATCAGTTCCACGCCGCTCCTGCTCATCCTCAAGCTTCTGCCATGGGTAGACCAGTCAGCTCCTGGTGTGTGACTGGGGCAGAGTTGTAGTCTCTTTTTTCAGGGTGAGATGGTGGGGACGCTCTGGGTGTCGTTGGACCACCCACTCCCCATTGCTGGCTGGTTTCACATGTGAGTGATGTATCCAGGCAGGACTGCCATTCAACTTCACTGCTGTTGGTGTGGACAGGGTCACCAAGTAGGGGCCTTTCCACCATGGTTTCAGTGGGCTCAGGCTCCAATCTTTAATCCACACCTGGTTACCTGGAGAGTGGGGATGGAAAATCTTATTTAATAGAGCCTAGAAATTTAAGCCAGTTCAACAGTTAAAAACCCTAGTGAATCATGGAAAACTTTAAATGTAATCTTGTTAATGGAAGTGGAGACAGAGACAAGTATTGGAAATGATCTTAAGAAACCAATAGAGTCCAATGAATTGGGTTTCTTTTAGGCCAGATGAATGCTTCTTGGATTCTCCCTCTCTCTGTGGATGTCCATGTGTGTGTTTAAACCCATGCCTCTTTTTTGACAAATACAAAAATCTTATGGTTTCTTTTAGGGTTATTCGAAATTTGAAATACAAAGAAGTGACCAAAAGGCAAATTTAAGCAGTTGGCATTCTAGATTATGCTTTCTCACAGTCCACGTGTACCCTATCCCTAAGAAACTCTGAGTTGGTGCCTCTTTCCTCCCTGAGAATCACTGAGTTAGACCTCTAAACAATAGCCTATCGCCCCGCAGTTTAGAACAGACAGGATATTGCTATCACTACATCTGCCAAGTTGATTTTGCTTTTAGAGAAGCTTTTTTTCTTTTACTTTCTTTTTCTTTTTTTTTGTTAGTCTATGTAAATAAAAGCCTTCCATCCTCCATGACTCACATTCGTCCTTAGGGTCACACATTTGGAAACAGTTAATGAAAGACTTACTGCTCCACCCAGAAAGGACCCACCGAGAACACTGTAGCAGTGAAGGCAAAGTGACCAGACTGGACAACTGCAGACCTAGGAGTCAAACAGCCCAGGGATAACTTCATGCTGCCGCCAGGAGGGGAGGGAGCAGAAGCCTGAGGGGGTGGGGCCGTGATGGGAAGGGCCTGGTGAGCAGCAGGGGCAGCACAGAGGACGTGGGATAGGAGGAAAAGCAAAGCTCCAGGTCTACAGGACCAAGACATGTCAAGGGACTCAAGAGGCTGTCAGGACAGGCAAAGTGCGGCCTCAGGGTGAACAAGGAGGGAGAAGCAGTTCACAGAATTCATGTGAAAGACATTAACTTCATTCTCAAGAAAGGGGCCAAAACTCAACAAAGAAAACAGAGCTTCTCAACAACACACTCCTCCAAACTTCCTCCATGTCTACCTTGACTATTTTTCTTCTATGGTCAGGGGATGACATACTTCTTGTATTATAACCAATCTCCTCCCCATGTCCCCCTCCAAAACAAGTATAACGTTTCACATTTTGAACTTCTTCCTTGTGGGGGTCCCTGGCTTCCCTCTCCTGTGGGGGGTGGGTGTGGAAACTAACCCTTGACTCTGCTTCCTCCTCCCCACTTTCTCACTCGTGTTCCTACAGCGGAGTCCGTATTCCCTGCTCCCATGTCGGCTCCTCCTACTGAGTCCTCAACCCGGTACAGTCTGGCTCCTGCCCTGCAAATCCACAGATTTCCTTCTCCCTAAAGCCAGCATCCACGTTGTCAAGTCAAATGGAGTTTGGCTTCGTTTTAAATATGTCAGATATTTTAATATATTTTTAATTGCCTGGAAGAATGATAGATGAATACCACCATCTAAGTAAAGGCTTGGAGGGTAAATCCAGCGTCCTTCCCGTGAGAGGCCTTCCATGATCTCACTGACTCCCTGGCCCCATAAGCCTGCTCTCCTATACCACCCTACCTAACAGGCTGTTTCTCACCTGGGCATCCCGCAGGCTCACGCGGTGCCTTCCCCTCCACTTGTACTTCTTCTTC